AGGCTTCTGATGCTCCTCCATCGTTGCTTGAGCATGTTCGGAGATTCTTGAATATTTCGCCTTTTGAGCCTTTAGTTGTTCGCGCTTCACAGGAAGCATTTCTGGATGCGTCGGCGAGATGCTTTGCGAGAGATGTTGTGGTAGCTACTTCTGATGGGGTAGAGCGTGTTGGAGCGGTGTGGCTCTTTGTGGAAGCTCGTGGTGAGCAACTGGTTTGTTGGAGCCCATGGGTCACCTTGGGAAACAATCGCTTTACCGTTGTGGATGACCCTCAACTCATGAGGGTGCAGTGCATCAAGAGGTGTTGCATCCATCAGATGGAAACGCCAGGACATGCCTTGGTGGTTCCTTGACTGCGGGCTATGTTTGTGCGTGTGGACAGTGGACCGTGTCCGCCTCTTCTGGCTCTCGAGTGTTGGTCGCGTTAATTGACTGTAGGGGTGCGTGTGAATCGCACAGACCATCCAAAAGAGGCGTTGCAAAGTAGTATCGAACCAAACTGTGGTTTGTGGTTCACCCTTCAAGGAGCCACTGGAAGGACTCCTGAACAGGTGCGCTCCACCTTGGAATATAGATATACCAATCACAACCCCCAATCTCCTGAACCCTAACTATCCGATGTCCGATTCATTTCTGTATGATTTGACCTGAAAGGTTCGTGGTTGGAGGAGGTATAGGTGATAGAAAAACACGGAGGTGAACGCACAGGCGACACGGTATAGAGAGAGAGAGAGGGGAAGTTTGATGGAGACGTTTTTGCCAGAATAGGTTTCTCTTATAAAGACAAAAAACACCGCCAACCTAAGCGTGATGGGGTATAAGTGCTTAAAATCAGTATGTGGAGCGGTTGTTCTGTTCGAACCTGGCAAAATTAGAGGCTGCCGCCACTTGTAGGTAATTGTTCTTTACACAGTTTCGGTGAGCAGACATGAACAGGAACCAATCTTTTCGACGTTTGGGTGCGCGTGCTTAGGCATAGAGGCCCATAAAAAAACACTGCTCTTTTGTGGGTGGGCGTTGACCATTTTCTGGCATGGACGAACGTGATTCCTCTCACGACCCTATAATATAGCGCAAGGCTGTTTTTTTGTATATCGGTTTTGGAGGTTGCGCCACATTCGACCCCAACCATCCTGTCGGCCAACCCACTGATGTTTCTACGGCTGGCAGGCTGCCACCGCTGCCCAGCTGCCAGCACGCTCCGGAGGGCTAAGTGTACGGATTTCGGCATCGGAGGCGTTCCGTTTTTTAGCGGTGTTCCGGGGTTTGGTGTAAACCTTCGAAGTGTGTGACAGATTGCGTTGACATTCTTTACCAAAGTATAAGCCCGGCCAAATCATAGGTATACCAAAGTTTGGAAGGGAAAAATGAAACCAACGGAGGTCAATACACATGGTTTGCACGGGAACATGCACACCAAAGGTTGCAGCGCAAAACGCAGCATCAAACCCTTTTCAAAAAAGACCGTGCACATTTGGGAAAAACAGCAAACTTTTGTGTGCTACCGCTAAGATTTTGTACCGAATACGTTCCTGCACGCTCAACCGATTGAGCTGCGACCTGTGCTGAAGTGTTGTAGGTTTTCGGTGTGAAGCAGAAATCTTCGGGGGGGAGAAAAACGAAACCGAATCTAGAGTTTGTTCCGACCGATACCGACTAACAAAAAGTTTTCTTCGAACGAAAAAGTGTTCCACCAATTCCTTCCTTTTTCTTTGGCTCAAAGGAAGGCATGGATATAAAACATCCATGCGCGTGAGGTTGAAAACACTCGCGCGATGACCAAAAAAAAAAGCACGCCGCGTGCGTTTGCGAACATGGTCTACATAGCTAAGTACACTTAGCAAGCGCTCCAAGTTGTACATAGTTTCTACTTGCAAGGTCTTTGCAAATCAACTTGCAAGTACTCTAGCAAGTGTGCCAAGTAGCTTGCAATTTCGCCACCTACATGCAAGTCGCCCACCTACTTGCAACAGCACCCGGCCATCCAAGTTTCCCACCTTCATCACGGGTCACCCCTCCATCACCATCCAGGGCCTTGACCTTCACCGTGTCCTTCAAGGGCATTGTGGAAGTCCCATGGAAAGCAGCCTCACCTTCAGCCAACAATGACTCTGCAAACTGCTGAATCCCCGGCTCCGTGGGTGCGACATCAATTCGTAGAGCAGCTCTGGTGACCTGGAGTCTGAAAGCCACCTGAGGAGACTGCTTAGCCAACGCAGCAGCAAATCGATCCAGTGTCGCAAGGAGCAGAACCGGGTCCGGAGGCTGGATGTCCAATTCCTGAACTCTGGTGAGCCAACGACGCCAAGCCCTCAAGGATGACAACCATTCACCAAGGGCATTGGGAACACGCTGATCAACCAGCTGCTTCAACAACGTGGTACGCTCACCCAAGCCACCAGGTTGGTAAACACGCAAGATCTTGTAGATGATGCTGACAGAACCCACCTCCCTTTGTGACACGAGCTCTGACCGAATGGATTCTGGAATGGCTTTCAACAATGCCACCGATCCACGCTGCTCGATTCGAAGCCAAGGCGCTCTCTGAAAAGCTGGAGGAGATATAGCAACCAACCTCAAGCGCTCCATGGGTTCCGATCCAAGCCACACACGGTATGGGGCTCCCGCGACATTCAGGACCTCATCCCACCACATGGAAGAGCTAGCACTCATATCGCAAAGAAAAGGCCCCACCGTGGTCAACCAATCACCTGCGATCAAAGGCCCGATTTCGGACTCGGACAGTTCTTGCAAGGCCGGCAAATCCACCGCCCTCACTGACTCTTGCTGAGCCATGAAGCCACCCAGCCATGCCGGAAGTCCCGCGTACGGAGCTCCTGGATCCCCGCCACCACTATCAGGTGGACCTCCACCAGGATGGAAAGGAAAACCTCCTCCGCCAGGACCCCCTGGATGTCCACGTCCACCAGGAAGACCGCCGGGAGGACCACCAGGAAAACCGCCGGGATATCCGCCACCAGGGTTGCCCCCAGGGTATCCACCACCAGGATTGCCACCAGGGTATCCACCACCAGG